TTGCAAGGAACGAAGAATCACATGCTCACTTATAAAAGATCTAATCATCTTGAGGTGATTGGATATTCAGATTCAGACTTCGCCGGATGTACCGATACAAGAAAATCAACTTTTGGTTAATTGTATCTTTTGGCTGGAGCCGCAATTTCATGGAAAAGTGCAAAGCAATCAATTATTGCTACGTTTACTATGGAGGCTGAATTTGTGGCATGCTTTGAGGCCACTATTCATGGGATATGGATGCGGAACTTTATTTCAGGGCTCATGATTGTCGACAGTATTGCCAGGCCGCTGAAAATTTATTGTGATAACTCTGCAGCAGTTTTTTTTTTTTCTAAGAACGACAAGTACTCCAATGGTGCTAAACATATGGAGATTAAATACTTGTCCGTTAAAGAAGAAGTTCAGAAACGAAGAGTGTCAATTGAGCACATTAGCACCAACCTTATGATTGCAGATCCTTTAACAAAAGGATTGCCGTCCAAAATATTTAAAGAACATGTCGAAAGGATGGGTATTATTGGATGTCATTAATGATTGTATTATGAGTGCATTAAGTTTATTTATTTGACACTATGAGCTCAATTATGTGTTTCTGATATTTCCTGTTTTCTATTGTATACATGATGGAAATAGATGAATGTGTAACAGGACGGTCTCTAACAGAGACATTATAGTTGGACCATTACTATAGTTCTCATTTATGGATCATGTTAAGTAGGGAGTTATAGTTGTAGTACATGGAAGGGACTATGTCGATTAATGGCATATAACCGCTATGACTCACATTAGTTTCTTTATTTAACTGTGATCTTTATATGATAGGCAATTTAAGAAAGGTTTTAGCATAATGTTATTGTGCACATTATGGTCTTTATTAAACCATGAAAGGAAGGTCATATGGGCCAAGTGGGAGAATGCAAGAATAATGTGGCTCACATGATATTATGAATTAATGGTTTAATAAATATTTAAGTGCTAAAACTTATTGACTATGAAAATGGATGAAAATGTGTAATTCTATTGAGAAGTTAAAATTCCTCCAAAGATGTACGACTCTTAAAAAGTGAGATATGCTTTGATGGAAGGCACTACTTAAAAGGGTATATATAAATAGAATCTGGTCTTCTCTCCACCCACGATAACGCACGAAAAGAACGTTGTGTTTTTATCCTCCATCGATAATATACGTTAAGAGAAAAGTGGGTCAAGAGAGAGAAATCAGATTTCTTTGTTTCTTCCATTTTTCTGCAGTAATTATCTTCAAGTAAAACGCTATGGATAAAAGTATGTCTTCGTCTCTCTTATTGTGAAAATCATGAAGATTTAAGATTCTAAATGTTTAAATTTTCCGCATAAAAAGGACTACGTTAAAACCTTACGGAATACTCATGGCCTGCCATTCGGTTCGATGTCCCCCCTCAAATAGCCTATCATTTCCACAAACAGTTCAGAACAGACCAGAAGCCGAACAACTTCCTCAAAGGCGTCAAATGGTGCGTGAATTCTTCGTTTTCCCTTGATGGGTGTCTGGGTTGTTCGTTTTCTGAGTAGTGGTGTGGCTTTGGGAGCGATGATTGCTTCTTCTTCTTTTTGGGCTTCCGTTAGGTCGCCTGATGGGACTTGCCTTCTCAGTAGTTCAGAGGACAATTCCCTTCGTGTGTTCGCATTGTAAGTTTGCTTTGGGACAGTCGTGGCGCTTGCTGATTTTTCTGTTCCTTTTAATGTTTTATTCCTTCACTAGATGTGTGGATATTGGTGGTAATTTAGTTGCTCTGTGTCGTGATCAGACCAGACTTCGGGGGTGACGATGGCACAAATGCAAGTTCGTCTGATGTTGATCAAGGTACAGGTCCTCAAGGCGTTTTGTGGTCGTGTAGAATGTGGGTTTGTTTGTGTGTTTAAGTAGCTTGAAAGATGTTAGCTTTAGGAATGCTGAGACTATTTGCGAGTGATATCAACAACCAAATATTCTCAGATCCAGATAATGGGTGGTCTATGTCTCATGTTGTTCTCTTTGTTTGCAGATTCCTTTGTAGCGAATCTTGTCGTGACAGAAGGGGAATCGGTTTATGATTTCTGTTAGTACCCACACGTCTGCTGCAGGTTGTCCCGTTAAATTTTACTCTTTTTTTACATATCATGATTATATTTTCATCTATAGTTATTTCTCTTCTGGTAATTACACACAGCTAGAATTGAGTATGGAAGTTTTTCATATTTCAGACCCTGTTAGCTGTGTATTCGCGTCAACTACTCATGATCATCCAATTCATGTCTGGGATGCTACTACTGGACAGGTCAGAAATGTTACGTTTAGTTTAGAGGTTTCAAGAACTCTAGGGAGACTTTATGGAAGCCATATAATCATTTAGGGGTACACTGAAATTGTGGACACCAATCTTATCACACATCTTAGACATACTTTGTAGCAACTCTGTTGTCTGCATAACCCTTTGCTTCTCCTTTGCAATCTTCTAAGTGCAGCTAAGTTTTTAATTGTCTTGAAAAATACAGGAAATTGTATTGACTCATACACTTGACATTGCAGCTTCATTGCACATACAGGGCTTATGATGCTGTGGATGAAATTACAGCTGCATTTTCAATTGCATTTAATCCAGCGGGAAACAAGGTTAACATTCAATTTTGAAGACTCTTAAATTCCCTCATGTCAATGGTCCACTCTAATTCCCCTAGTAATTTTAGTTTGAAATCGTACATTACTTTACCTTCTATTGTTGAAAGAAATCAGCATTTGGTTATATTGGTTATGCTCTGCTACCCGAATTTCAGAACATGAGTGTTTGGTTGCTTAGTGGTTTTTGTGGTTCTTATAAATGATTTAGTTTGTTAAAGCTATTCTCTTTAGGTAGGGTTTATAGCATTTTAAGTCTGTTAAAGTTTCAACCTACATCCTCTGTTCATGTGTAGGATCTTTGCTGGATATAACAAATTCATAAGAGTGTTTGAGGTACATCGCTCTGGTAGAGATTTTGAGATGCACTCAACACTTCAAGGAAATAAAGAAGGTCAAACAGGTGCATTATTGTGTTTGCCCTGGTTTAGCTATTACTAGAGATTTGTTTAGCAAGTTAAATAAAAGAGGATTTCAAAAACTACAGTTGACAAGGATTGAGTATCTCATCTTCAAAGGATTACAGTTGATTTTAAGGCTGAACTGTTCTATTTATGTTGCCACAGGGCTTATATACTATGCATGTAAAGGGAACTAGCAGATCTCTCGTAAATGCCCTGGATTTCCATGTTTATTGTATAATTATACAAGATAATATTGAGATCACAAGATAAAAAGGAAGAATTGAGTATCTTATTCTCTATTGCTTTTGTGCAGGTATTATATCTGCCATTGCTTTCTCTCCAGCCCATACCGGAATGCTGGCAACTGGTTCCTACAGTCAGACTACTGCAATCTATAGAGAAGATAACATGGAACTCGTATACGTTACATGGCAGCAAGGTGGGGTTATCCATGTAAGTGCTAGATGATTGGATTTCCCTTATGTGATGGTTTTTTCTGAAGAAATTATAGGTGATAAGCTTGCTTGCAATTTCAGGTGTTATTTTCAAAAGATGGAAACTACTTGTATACTGGAGGACAAAAGGTAGAATGCTCTAAAACCTTCTCTTTTCTTTTTCTTGGAAATTTATATAATGACTCTCTCTCTCTCTCTCTCTCTCTCTCGCTCTCTCTCTCTCTCTCTCTCTCTCTCTCTCTCTCTCTCTCTCTCTCTCTCTCTCTCTCTCTCTCTCTCTACGATGGAACAATTGCCTTGTGATGACGAGTGATGAATTTGTTGTTGCCTCTAAATTATGCAAATCTGTTCCAGCTGCTACTGATAGTGATCATTACTGAAAGATGTCCTTTTTTTTCATGTCTTAGACTTACTTGATTGTTGGATGTACCCATATATAAAGCCAGATATAAAATACAACCACAAAGGACAAGATAAACAAGGAAAGCTTTTCTCTTAGGTGGGGGGAAATGGCTTCGGGTGTGAACTGGAGTGGGGATTGTGGTGGAAGGAGAGAGAGAGAGAAGGCAAGGGGGGGGGGGGGGGGGGGGGGGAGGCACAGGGGCATGATCCTCCCCTGTTCTTTCCTGACTGTAATCTAACCAGTAACAAGGTACTCGTTGCTAATTAGTGATGATTTCTGACACGAGTAAAGGACCTAAGATATTTATTTACATTCTGATCGTACCTCCTTGTCCTCTTGTGTTTGAGTTTTGACATATCGGATGTGTGTTAACCGGTGAAGCAGGATAAGATAGGAGAACATCTCTAATCCTATATCTAGTCACTCTCTGGATAGAATGCACAAATAATTTTCGTATCAATCCTGTGATCAAACACAGTCTAAGTTATCATGAAGGTATGAAAATAACTGTAGTGCTTGGGGATGAACTTAACTTCCAGGAATTGTGGGTAAACATTATTTATGCGTTATTTACTTTGGGCGTGTCTGTCTCTGACAATGTCTCTTTTTAAATTTCTATGTAGGACCCTTTTATCATGTGCTGGGATGTTTGGAAGGCTGTTGATGTTGTCTGCAAGTGAGTATTGTTTTCTTGTGATAGCAAAGCTCCTATATCTATCCAACTGAATAACATATTTTTACTGAAATGTCGTGTCATTAGATGAGAAAGTAGAATATTTCCTGCTAAATATACCTTTCCTAAGGAAAAGTTTTTTCTCTCAAGTATTCACTGTTGCTATCCTTATTGTTTTTCGAATCATTGGAGTGACTTCTTTTGTCCCTCAATCCCGCAGATATACTTTGATGTTGAACCTCTAGGTCGACATCGTGGCACAGGCGGTCAGGTATCATGTTGGTTTTACATTTACATTGACCTTTTTTGTCAATCAACTACTCTTTCTAACAGTATTTGTCTTCAGGATGGTCTGGTTCATATATATGATCTCCAAACTGGGCAGTGGATTTCAGGCTTTCAGGCTGCATCAGGTAAAACAATCAGTTAAAAGGGCGACATTGACTTCAGTTTCAGTCGCCGTCGACACAGAAAGTGAAAATCCTTCGAAAACTTCGAATCCATGGTGGAGACCTCTATGCATGGCGCCATCCACCGCAAATTCTCCGGCGACCGGCCGAGTCGCACCGAATGAAACCGACCTCCTCCACATCCAAAACGAAGCAGAAGCCCTAGGGATCTCATCAGCGCCTTGCTGGACGCCGTGATCCGCCACGTCTTCTCGTTTCTGCCCCTCTGAGATGTCGTCAAGACCAGCGTCCTCTCCAAGTGCTGGCGGTCCACTTGAACCACCATTGCCCACCTCGTCTTCGATGGCGGAGGGATTGAAGACCGGCCTCGCGGTACCTTGGGCTTCTTGTCCCTCGTCAAGAGCGTCTTGAGCCAGTGCACCTCGCTCATGGTGAAGAGGTTCCACGTCAGCAGTTTCAAGTACGAGAAGCCCCACCGCTGCACAGTCGACCTCTGGCTCCGCTTCGCGGAGCGTCGCCGCGCGGAGGATCTCTGCCTGAGGTTGAATTTCCTTCCGCCGACCTTCCATATACTGCCGCGGTTCTTGTATTGCTCAAGTTGGGTGGTGTGCCTGGAAGTCAGCTGCTGCAATTTCTCATTGGGTAGGACTAGTAGCTGGCCTTGCCTTAAGGTCCTGTTGATCGAATTTTCAGATTTGAGGGATGATATCCTTGAGGGAATTTTCAGGAATAGTCCTGTTCTAGAGTCTGTTCAGTTGCGCAAGTGCTGTGGTGTGAATAACATTATGATAGATTCAACGAGTGTGAAAGAGTTTGTACTCGCCGGCCTCAGTTCATATTGCACGACCAAAATTTGGGCCCTGAATTTGCTGTTGTTGCGAGTATCAGGGGGCTGGTGTCATCGTGCTGTCTTCAGACTTGACGATATATCTTCTTTGGTGGAAGCCGAGTTAGATTTCAACATTACAACTGATTTGTCTGGTGACGAGAGGGTTTGCTGTGACTTGTTGAAGGAAGTTCTTGAGAAGCTGCACGGAGTTCCTCCAATCACCATTGGCGGTTGGTGTTTGCAGGTATGAGCTCGATATTTTCATCATTTATAAGACTTACTTGTGTTGAATGGTGCTGTGATTAGCACTGTTTAGTGCTGTGGCATTCTAGTCTTTTGTCAAGGGGAACCGTTGTGCATTCATGTGTAATTAATTGTTCGCAGATAGGATGATTCATAACTTTGTGTTTGCAGTTACTACGTAAGAACTTATAGTGAACCTTGGAGCTTCTTCCCTCTGTTTAATTTTAAATAAATGGATCTGGGATCACTCAATTAGGGACAATGGATGCCACTAGATATTGCTAATTATAATAGACGGTACTCAAACACCGCATTCTTAGATGCTTGATTTTCACAAGAAAAATGCATGAAGAGAATATTTGAAAAGGTTACATTTTCCATTCATTCTTTCAGTTTGTGGATAAAATATAATTATCTTGAAATATGACAAAGAGTAGCGGACCTAGTCATCTTAGGTTGACAAATCCGGACCATGCTCTCTTTTCATATTAGGCTGTTGTTCCATAATCATCTAACAAAGTATTCTCACAATATTCTATAATGACAATGGATGGATTTACTTGGAAACTTCTGTCAACAACGAGGTTTGCTGTCTTATGTAACCAACCACAAGAATTTTCAGATCCTTAAAAGTATCACAAGTTTTACATGAGAAGCATATGTAAATAGTCTCGATTCTTAAAGGGATTCACTTGTTCATTCTATTTGTAGTATCCTTATCGGTCTTTTACCGGCTGGGAGATAGGGTCGAAGGACATCGTAGTTGGAGGGACTGTAATTTTGTTATTCTTTATTCGTGTTAAACAGGAAATCTAACATTAATTAAATTTTCTTTGTTGTTTTCTCAATGTGTTTAGATTCTGTCCCTTTTGGAGATGGAAGGAGTGCCATCTCCATTGTCAAAATGTCAGAATCTGATACTACATGCACCAGTTAGTCCACGGGACCTTCCTGGGATAGCATACATGCTACAAAGTTCACAGTGCCTGGAAAAGTTTGTCATAAGCCTGACTGACTTCCCCCTATCGGTGCTTTGTTCCTTTGCTATATTAATTTCAGTTTGCTTCCTGTGCTGGCTTCCTCTTTGCGTGAATGTTAAAATGAATTAAGACTTTAGAAGCACATAAAGATGATAAATCTCAAACTCTTATTTGTTCCAGCAATTGAGATTTGCCCATGACTCTTTCAGTCTACTCGAGATTTATGCAGGGCCATCTTGAGCTGTTTTAGTTCGTGTCCTGAAGTGACTGCAGTGTTGAACTGGAGATTCTTTTGCTGCCATGTAAGGTTAGGATCTTGAGCTAATAGGTTAGAGATGAGCACCTAGGAAGAGAAGATTTTTTATTGTGTGGACTAGTTTAAGAGTTCAAATTGATGAAGACTCGATATAAAGTAAAACTGACATCTAAGGTGGACAAATGAAAGTTGTTTATTTGAAATTTTAGTGAGGCCAGGAATTTCTTTTTATTTTTATTTTTGTTTCCGTGGATCGGCATCTAATGTGCATCTAATGTGAAGTAAGTTTCTTCAATGGGGTATCTATGTGCAGTTAGGGATTGACAAAGAATTTAAAGAACGCATTAACTTTGATGAAGAAGAAGATTTTTTGTGTTCACAAAAGGGGAACTTTCGGTGTTTGGCGAAACATCTCAAGAGAGTTGAGATCACCGGCTTTGAAACTGATAGATATGGGTTGAAACATCTGCTCGCCCTGATTAAGTTGCTTCTTGGTGATACATTGGCGCTGGAGAAGATGATTATCAAGGCTGAATTGTGCACACGACATACCGCCGTTCATCCGGAACTACTTGGTGTGAGCCGAACTGTGCTAAGCTATCGAAGAGCTTCAAAAAATACTGAAGTTATCTTCAATTATCCTTTCAAATAGGTGTCCTCATAAAAGATGAATATCCGGGTTTCTCTTTGATCTCATGGCAAGGGTATGTCGCCCTGAGCACCGCACTGCTCATTTATATTCACTCTCTTTTGACAGTAAAGTTACATATAGTATGACAATATTAGGTTTTTGACATGTATCTAGTTTGCACTTGTTTCAAGTTTTACTTAGTTGTACATATGAACCTCTTTAAGGAAAGTGGTTAATATTAGTGTTTTAAATTATCAACATATGAATGGGTGGTTTGGTCAAAGACACATACTGGAAGTACTCCTTTGCTGCCCAAAAGAAGATAAATTCGTATTTTAACTTAACCTTTTTTGGTGGTTTAATTTGGGTCAAGCGGATTCTTTTCCCCTGTTTCAGGGTTCGTTTTGGTTCGACTTTTGGAAAACCAAAACAAATCGTGTTACCAATAGTCCTTCTGTTAGCTTAGTGAGGTTTTGCTGGATCTTCACGGAACGTTTTTTAATTTATTAAAAGTCACATAATATTAAAAATCTTCCCCTGTTCGAAGAAAGACCTGTTCTCTATGCAATGTTAGCTGCGACTAGACCCATTAACCCATTTATGATCCATTTATGCGTAATGCAATTTTCTTGAACCATACCTGACCCGACTCATACCCAATCCATACTCGATCAGACCCATATTGCTAAAACACTTATATATTTAATTAAATCTAAGAAAATTCATACCCAAACTGAGATGAGTGCGCGAAGTGAGTGAGCGCAAGGTTGAGTAAGGGCGAGAGATAAGTTAAATTTAAATCAGTTGTAAATCTATTTATGACCAATTTACGACTTATTTATGACTCATTTAATACTAATATTAAACTTCTACCCATTTATGACCCATTTACTAATATATGGGTTAAGAAATGGGTTTATGACCTATTTTGACAGGTCTAGCCGCGACGAAGGCTTTCTAGGAAGGAGCTCCATTCATTTTCTCTACGAAAGCCTCACTATTTCGTGATGACATCTTCATTGAAAAATACGGATGCTTTTCAACTATTTTGTGAGCATGCTCTTAAAGGAAAACCTCTTCAGAGGAATTCTCCTCTTTGGCGTGGACATTAGTTTGGCTGCCAAGGGAATTCCTTTTGCGTCGTTGGTTCATTTTAACATGGAAAGAACAAAGAGGTACAGAACTCTGAAGAGAAGATATGAACATTCAAAGGACAATGCCAAAAAGATATGTCTCGATATGGCATTTATTTTTATGTTGGAAAGCACGAGAAAATGCCTTCTTACATGTACCGCAAAGGAATTCTTCTGGTGGTCGAACTAATGTCTAGTGCCAAAGAGGAGAATTCCTCTTGAAGAGGTTTTCCTTTAAGAGCAAGCTTACTAATAGTTGAAAAGCATGGTCATCGTTCATTTGCTTTTGCAATAGTATTTGCAAAAGTAGTTCCTCTTGACATTCACCATCATGAATGTCAACAATACTATTCCCAATAGAGATCACGATGATCCTACTTCCTTAACCAACTTGGATCTCTGGTTGATGAATTGATTTGTGCAAAATCACCAACATCGTCAAGAATAATGAGAACCTTTAGATTTCTAAATTTGTACTCGATAAAGTTGGCACCTTCAGCACGAGATCTAAGTGTACATGTTCTCCTCTGGTTGCCACTAATTAAGTCTTCTTGGAAAGATAGGACTCCTTTTTTCTCTATCTTTGGATGGATGTCTATCTAAGCTCCAGTTTGTGGTTGGCTAGCTAAATCTCCGGTTCCCATGCTCCCATAAACTTAAGACTAAACATGGGATATTGTTGTACATTACTGCGTGTTGGCAGATCCATTAGCAAGCTAAGGAACTTAGTTGCTTTGCATAAACTAGTTCTGCAATTTCGTGCTAGAGCTGCCAGAAGATATGGCTTCCTTGGAAGCTTCGAACGAGCTCTACATCGATGAAACTTCAATTAAAGCAATTACTTTCCCAGAGAGTCCGTATAGAATCTTGAAATACTCAGTACTTGCAACGGTAATCAGTTGGTAACTTAAGATCTCTTTCGTATTTAGCATTGGAGGACACTGAACTGAATGACCTCCCTTCTTCTATCGGATTATACTACTTACACATGTGTAACACGATTAAGATACACTTGTCCTATAAATGTGCAAAAATGTGCTCAAAGGAGTATTAACGCATGTAAATGTATCTAAGCATGTGGTGTTAACCTAGGTTAATGTTAACTTTTTTTTAATAAACATGTCTAAGAGTGTGATAAAAGTTTTGAAAGGTTCATTGTTCGATTTGTGATCAACATGTTTATTATTTGTGCCTACACATGTTGACCCGTTCATGAAATGAAATTGATTAGGCTTTAATCGAGCACAATTACCTATGTGTCGTGTAAATGAATCTCGTACAAAATTGCCAATCTTAGTTGGAGGTGACACGACTCCGAACTATGGTAAGACGCAATGGGCGGTGAGCAACAAGTGTGGCGACCACTATGGTAGAGTGGATAGGGGAAAGCGAATTTATGAATAGGAAAGTAGGGATCTTTTTATATAGCATTTGATTCCTGTCGAATTCAATTGGATTGAATAGGGAAAACAAAGTTGAATTTCAAATCCCATCTGTGCCTAATTGATCCAATAAATTCTGATTTCAAGAAACGAGAATAAAGAGGGTGAAGGTAGCTCCGGTTGCATGGGTTTTGAGACACAGGGACAGCGCAATAGGTGGGTACGGCAAACTTAATTTGACCTTCTTTCGAATAAAGAGAGGAGGAGATCAATCGAAAAAAAGAAAAATATATTAATTCAACAACGATCAAAGTGGTGTTCGTGCGGATTCCTATTTTGTCGGAACAATTCAAAACTCAATTTAACATACGTACTTATAAATTCTTCGCTCTCTTTTCTTTTTTTCTTTTCAATTGAATGTCGCATCAGTGTCACGAAAAAGAACTTTACTTCATGTATATATTTAATTATTATCAGTAGCGATGTTTTCGAATATATAGCCGGCGGATGATAGCGAAACGACTTGACCAGCAACGGAAAGAAAATCAATCGCCGAGGTATAATTGAACGAGGGCAACCGGGATATACTCCGTTTGAGCCTGATAAACTTTGCCTTTCAATTCAATATGATGAATGTAAAGGAGATCTCCTTTCTCCGCCGACTGAGAAGACTTTGGTGGGAGGGGTACATGTCGATAACTATGCAACGTAACAAATGAAGATAACGACTTTAGAGAAAAGGAGGGGGAAATGATGTAAAGACTGAGGCATAACTAAACCTTTGGGAATATGCTTTTATTCCCCCAGGTCTTTTGGTGCAACAAGCCTCCTCCTTCCAGATGTCCACATGCATCCATCCGCCTTGATGTTTTTGCTCGTACAAAGGGACAAACTCATCCATCAATCGCTCGCATTTGCTGTGGGCAGCGACCACCGTTTTAGAACTCTTCTACCTTGTGGCTTGGTTCTCCGCCTCCTCCTCCTCCTCCTCCTCCTCCTCCCCTTCCTTCTTATTTATAGCCACTTCGTTGGGCAAATCTTTCGTCAGTGTCGTCCCTCTGCTTGATCTCCTCTCCCTCCCGTTCGACCGACCTTTCTCCCAACCTTCCGTCGTTCCCTGGGGAGGTCTTCCCTCAGTTCGCTCGATCTCTCTCTCTCTAAGCTCTCTCGCGTATCTTTCTTTCTTTCTTTTTCTTTTCCGGTTCTTGACTGGGGGCCGGCCTTGCGCGTGCGGGAATCTTGATCTGCAAATACGGCGACGAAGAAGAGACAGCGTCGCCATATCTGACGCGTGATTTCCGGATGCAATCACTTCTTCATCACTTGAAGGAGCGCACGCTTGGCTAGGGCGACGACAGCAGCGACGACGACGACGACGACGACGACGACACCAGCGGGGTGTTCGTGGACATAGAAATCCCGCGATCGCCGCCGCCGCCGCCGCCGCCGAGGAGCAGCCGACCCACAGATCCGTGGACAGATCTGGGCGAGAGGAAAGCTCCCCACCCTCTTTTTTTGCTGGGTTTTCCGCCCCTGGATGCCGGCGATGGCGGCGGCCTAACTGCGGAGCTCCCTGTTCATTGGCGAGCGGCCTCGTCCTCGATCTCTCTTGTTGAAGGTACCGTCGTTTCCCCTTCGATCCCATTTGAGAGCATCCGTCCACGGCGCCGTGCACCGCTGATCCTCCGGCGACCTGCCGAGTCGCACCGGAGGGAACCGACGTCCTCCTCCTCCTCCTCCTCCACCTTTGAGCTTCCCTCCTATGGATCACATCAGCGCCTTGCCAAAAGACGTTATCACCCGCATCTTCTCCTTTCTCCCCTTCAAAGACGTCGTGAAGACCAGCGCTCTCTCCAGGGGGTGGCGGTACACTTGGACGACCACCACCCCCCACCTCGAGTTCGATGGACTCTGGCATCGCAATCACGAAGCCAGCCCCTCGGGCTTCCAGTCCCTCGTCGACAGCGTCCTGAGGCAGTGCGCCTCGGCCCCGGTGACGAAATTCCACATCACCCACTTCAGCGAGGCCGACGGTCCCAATCTCGACCTCTGGCTCCGCTTCGCGGAGGAGCACCGCGTGGAGGATCTTCGCCTGCGGCTGATTGCCATTTCGGACGGGTTGAGATATAAACCGCCGCTGTTCCTGTATTGCTTGAGTCGGTTGGTGCGCCTGGAAGTCAGTGCGTGCTGTTTCTGGTTGAAAGGGGCTACTACAATTTCGTGGCCTCTTCTTAAGGTCTTGTCGATGGAAGATGTGGAGTTGAGCGATGATATCCTCGGGAGCATTCTCAACGGAAGTCCTGTTTTAGAGTCCCTTACATTGGCCTGGTTCCGGGGCGTGAAGAACATTGTTATAGATTCTTCAACAAGTGTGAAAGACTTGCTACTCATTGGCGGCAGTTTCTCTGAATTGGAGAAAATTAGGGCCCCGCATTTGCTGTCGTTGTGTGTATCAGGGACGTGGTATCCACCGAAGGGGCTAAGGGGTATATCACTTGACGACATATCTTCTTTGGTGGAAGCCAAGTTAGATTTTGTCATTCCAACTGCTTGGCCTGGTGCCAAGAGGATGTACCGCTACTTGTTGAAGGAACTTCTTGAGAAGCTGCGCGGAGTTCCTACAATCACCATTGGTGGTTGGTGTTTGCAGGTACAAGCTCGATACTTTTAACATTTATGAGACGTACTCGTGTTGAATGGTGTCCGCTCATAGCACCGTTTAGTTCTGTATGTTGCCCCGGTTGAGTGACCTCAGCTCTCTGTGGCATTCTATCTTCCGTCATGGGGAATCATTGTGAACTCGTGTGTAATTAGTTATTGGCAAATGGGATGATTCATAACTTTGTGTTCCGAGTTACAGCATAAGATTGTGAGCCTTGGAGCTTTTTCCCTCTGTTTAATTATTGTGGATGCTACTCACCGCAGCATTCTTAGATGCCTTAATATTGAAAAGAAAAATGCGTGAAGAAATTAGTCGGAAAGGTTTCTTGAAATTTGATTCTTTCAATTTATAGAGAAAATACAATTATCCGGAAATATGACGGAGAGGAATGGACCTAGTCATCTTAGGTTGACAGAACCGGTCCTGCTCTCTCATCGCATTAGGCTGTCGTTTGATAATCATCTTACAAAGTATTCTCACCATATATGTACAATGGCAATGGATGGATTTACTTGGAAACTTCTGTCAACAACGATGTTTGCTGTCTTATGTGACCAACTATTACAATTTTCAGATCCTTCAAGTATCACAAGTTCAACACGAGAAGCATATGTAAATAGTCTCTATTCTTCAAGGGATTCACTTGTTCATTTCTACTTGTAGTATCCTTATCGGTCTTTTCCTTGGCTGGGAGACAGGGTCAAAGGACATCGTATTTGGGGGGATTGTTATTCATGTTAAACAGGAAAACTAGTATTAATTAAATTTTTTATGTTGCTTGCTCAATGTGCTTAGATAATGTCCCATTTGGAGATGGAAGGAGTGCCGTCTCCATTGTCAAAATGTCAGAATCTGATACCAGAGGCACCAGTTAGTCAACTGAACCTTCCTGGGATAGCATACATGCTGCGAAGTTCACCGTGCCTGGAAAAATTAGTCATACACCTGACTGACTTCCTCTTTGCACGAATGTTTAAACAGCGAGTTAAATTTTTGGAAGCACATAAAGATGATCAATCTCAAACTCTATCTGTTCCAGCAATTGAAATTTGCTCATGGCTCTGTCAGTCTACTTAACATTTGTGCAGGGCAATATTAAGCTGTTTTAGTTAATGTCTTAAAGTAACTGCAGTGTTGTACTGGAGGTTCTTTTGCTGCCATGTAGCGTTAGGATCTCGAACTAAGAGTTTAGTGATGAGAACTTAGTAAGAGAACATGTTTTTAATGTGTAAACAACTTTAAGAGCTTAAATTGAATAAGATTCGTTATAAAGTAAAACTAACTAGCATCTGCAGCGAACAAATGAAAGTTGTTTGTTTGAAATTTTAGTGAGGCAATGGTTTATTTTTTTCGGTGGATCCACATCTAATGTGAAATAAGTTTTCTCAAATGGGGTATCTATGTGCAGTTTGAGCTTGATGAAGAATCTGATGGAGAATCTGAAGATTGCGTTAACTTTAACGAAGAAGAATTATTGTGCTTACGGAAGGGGAACTTCGAATGTTTGGCAAAACATCTCAAGAGAGTTGAGATCATCGTCATTGGAGCTGATAGATTTGGGTCGAACCGTCTGCTCACCCTGATTAAGTTTTTTCTCGGGGATGCACCTGTGCTGGAAAAGTTGGTTATCAAGGTTAAATTGCCCACACCCATTGTTCCGTGGGAACTACTTGGTGTGCGCAAAAATGTGAACAGCTTTCGAAAAGCGTCCGAAAATGCCGAGGTTAACTTCGATTGGGGTCCTCATATAAGCATATGAAAGTCTGGGTTTCTCGTTGATCTCATGGCTACGCTCATTTGTATCTAATTTGACAGTAAAGTTACGTGAAGCGACTGTGTTAAGTTTTTAACATGTATCTAATTTGCTCTTGTTTCGAGTTTTATTCTAGTTGTAAACAGGATCCTGTCGGGGAAAGAGGTTAATATTAGTGCTTTGGTTCAAGGGGATTTTTTCCCGTCAAAAAAGCTTGCAATTGGAACTAAACTGTATTCCCCGGTTCGTTCCCCGGTTTGATTTAGTTCGACTTTCGGAAAACCTCGGCATGACATTTCTTTTTTACTAACAGTCGAGACATATAAAATAAATAAATAAATAAAGAGTCATGTGTTATTTTCCGTTAAGCTACAATTGACAGAGCTAATGAAAAGATTCAAGTGCATCGGAGTTGCACGTTTGAAGATTTAAATGCATGAAATGTAAGTATTATAGCAAATTTTAGGATTTAAATACACGAGATGTTGCATGTTTGTAAGCATTTTGTCTTTTCATCACATGTTGACAAGGCAGATTTCAAGTGCTTCAACTTTTTTTATATTTTTTCTACTTTCACTTTTTAATGTTTAGTAACTTTCGCGGCACTTATAATTTAATTTATTGTTTAGAATGAAACACTCGAAACATTTAGAAATATTTAAATGATGTAATTTCGAATCATATATTATTTTTTTCATATTTTTTTGGCTTCAGATTTTAAAGCAAAATCGTAAGTAGAAATATTGAGAGATTTTTCTGTGCTTCACCGACATGTGATTTATATCAAATGAAGTGCAATGTCCAGTATATAATCAACCATACTAGAATTAAGTTCTCAAATATTAAACTATTGAATTAAATGAAGCTTAAATTATAAGATGACTCAATTTTCAAACTTAAATAATCAAGATATTAATTATAATAATCAATTAAAACGGTTTTATCATAATTGATCATTATAGTTCATTTTAAAAATTGTTAATAGTGTATGATTTGATATGTTTACACCAATATATAATTATTTGCATAAGAATTACTAGTTATGTAATCACGATATATTGATATATTTATCGGATTATATTTAAAATAGGTCATAGCAATTTTTGACTAACTTATAATCACTAGAAACTATAATATAATTCTAAGGGAAAATTTTAAATCAGTACCCAAAATGGGGTCATTTTCTCAAAAAAGGGTTTAAAGTGGATATAATATCAAATAAAGGCCTAAAGTGCCCAATCAGTTTCAAATAAACGCCCGAAGTGCCCAATTAGTTTTAAATAAGAGCCTGGGTTCATCGGCCGGTCAAATGCTCACTGACCGGCAATCACATGACTATTCCGGCGATCAGAATAAGAGCAATTTCATCTTTTATTTTTTTAAGTTTTTTTTTTCTTTTCATTTTCCTTTTCCCTCTCTTCCCTCCGCCGGCCTTGGCGGGCAGAGGTTGCCCTCGCCGGCGTCGGGCGAACTCAAAAAGAGTTTAGTTTATTTTCATGAAATTATTGTTTATTCCCGTTTTATTTTCATTTCGCAAATCGAAGGGTGAGAGGGGTTGTCTCTTTTCCCTTTGCCGAACTCAAAAAAGAGGGGAAGCGCCGACGGGAGCCAAAACTAGCCGGCGAGGACTCGAGCAAAGTCTCGCAGCTCGTGCTCGAAGCTCTTCACCACGCACGCACTCTTTCTCTCACGCAAGGATGGTTGCAGAAGAAGAAGAAGGGCAGCAGCATCAACTGAGCCCGCTCAAGGAACCCACAGAGGCCGCTCATCATCAAGACTACTCATGGCCTGCCATTCGGTTCGATGTCCCCCCTCAAAGAGCCCATCATTTCCACAGACAGTTCAGAACTGACCAGAAGCCGAACAACTTCCTTAAAGGCGTCAAATGGTGCGCGAATTTTTTGTTTTCCCTTGATGGGTGTTTGGGTTGTTCCTTTTCCGAGCAGTGGTGTGGCTTTGGGAGCGATGATTGCTTCTTTTTCTTTTTGGGCTTTTGTTAGGTCGCCTGATGGGACTTGCCTTCTCAGTAGTTCGGAGGACAATACCCTTCGTGTGTTCGCATTGTAAGTTTGTTTCGGGACAATGGTGGTGCTTGCTGATTTTTCTGTTCCTTTTTATGTTTTATTCCTTCATGAGATGTGGCGATGTTGGTGGTAATTTGGTTGCTCTGTGTCGTGATCAGACCAGACTACGGGGGTGACGACGGCACAAATGCAAGTTCGTCTGATGTTGATCGAGGTACAGGTCTTCAAGGAGTTTTGTGGTCGTGTAGAATGTGGGTTTGTTTCTGTGTGTTTAAGTAGCTTGAAAGATGTTAGCTTTAGGCGTGCTGGGACTATTTGCGAGTGATATCTACAACGAAATGATCGCAAATCCAGATAATGGGTGGTCTATGTCTCATTCAGTTCTCTTTGGTTGCAGATTCCTTTGCAGCAAATCTAGTTGTGACAGAAGGGGAATCAGTTTATGATTTCTGTTGGTACCCATACATGTCTGCTACAGGTTGTCTCGTAAAATTTTACTCTTCTTTTATGTATCATGATTATATTTTCAGCTATAGTTATCTTCTGGTAATTAGCCACAGCTAGAATTGATTATGGAAGTTTTTCACATTTCAGACCCGGTTAGCTGTGTATTCGCGTCAACTACGCGTGATCATCCAATTCATGTCTGGGATGCTACTACTGGACAGGTCAGAAATGTTAAGTTTAGTTTAGAGGTTTCAAGAATTCTAGGGAGACTTTATGGAAGGCATATATTGTTTTGGGGTACGCTGAAGTTGTAGACCCCGGGCTTGTCGCACATCTTAGACATGCTTTGTAGCAACTCTGTTGTCTGCATAAACCTTCGCTTCTCTTTTACAATCTTCTACGTGCAGTTTCGTTTTTAATTGTCTTGAGAAAAACAGGAAATTTTATTGACTCGTACACTTGACATTGCAGCTACGTTGCACATACAGGGCTTATGATGCTGTGGATGAAATTACAGCTGCATTTTCAATTGCGTTTAATCCTGCTGGGAACAAGTAAGGTTAACATTCAATTTTCAAGACTCTTAAGTTCCCTCTTGTCAAAATGTCCACTCTAATTCCCCTTGAAAGTCTTGTTTGACATCTTGCATTACTTTACCTACTATTGTTGAAAGAAATCAGAATTTGGTGATTTTGGTTATGCTCTGCTACTCGAATTTCGGAACGTTGGTGTTTGGTTGCTTGGTGGTTTTTGTGGTTATCTTAAATGATTTTATTTGTTGGAGTATTCTCTTTACGTAGGGTTTATAGCATTTTAAGTCTATTAAAGTTTCAAACTACATCCTCTGTTCATGTGTAGGATCTTTGCTGGATATAACAAATCCATAAGAGTGTTTGACGTACATCGCCCTGGTAGAGATTTTGAGATGCACTCAACACTTCAAGGAAATAAAGAAGGTCAAACAGGTGCGTTGTTTGTCCTGGTTTGGTTATTACTAGAGATTTGTTTAACAAGTTAAATAAAAGAGGATTTCAAAAACTACAATAGAGAAGAATTGAGTATTTCATTTTCAGAGGATTACAGTTGATTGTAAGGCTGATTTGTTCTATCTATTTTGCCATGGGGCTTATATACTATGCATGTAAAGGGAACTAGCGGATCTCCTTAATGCCCTGGATTTCTATGTTTATTGTATAATTATACAAGATAATATTGAGATCACAAGATAAAAAGGAAGAATTGAGTATCTCATTGTCTATTGCTTTTGTGCAGGTATTATATCTGCCATTGCTTTCTCTCCAGCCCATACCGGAATGCTGGCAACTGGTTCCTACAGCCAGACTACTGCAATCTACAGAGAAGATAACATGGAACTCTTATACGTCTTACATGGTCAACAAGGTGGGGTTACCCATGTAAGTGCTAGATGATTGGATTTCCCTTATGTGATGGTTTTTTCTCAAGAAATTATAGGTGATAAGCTTGCAATTGTAGGTGCTATTTTCAAAAGATGGAAACTACTTGTATACTGGAGGACGAAAGGTCGAATGCTCTAAACCTTCTCTTTTCCTTTTCTTGGAAATATATAATGACTCAATAGCATTCTCTCTGTCTCTCTCTCTGTCTCTCTCTCTCTCTACCTACGATGGAACAATTACCTTGTGATGACGAATGATTAAATTCGTTGTTGCCTCTTAAGTTATGCAAATTTGTTCCATCTGCTACTGATACTGATCATTACTGAAAGATAACCTTTTTTTCATGTCTTAGACTTGCTTGACTGTTCTTTGGTTTTTATAGAGGCTAATATGATTTAAGGTCTCCTTTCTGGCTCATGCAAAGTCTATCAGATTGGATATACCCAGATATAAAGCCTGATATAAAATACAACCACAAAGGACAAGATAAAATTGGAAAGCTTTTCTCTTAGGTGGAAGGGAATGGCTTCGGGTGTAAACTGGGGTGCGGATTGTGGCGGAAGGAGAGAGAGAGGAGGGGGAGGGGCGGGGGAGAGAGAGGGAGGTGGGGTTAGGGGCATGATCCTGCCCTGTTCTATCCAGTCAGAGTGATCTAACAAGTAACAAGGCACTTGTTGCTAATTAGTGATGTTTTCTGAAATGATTAAAGGATCTAAGATACTTATTTGTATTTTGATCGTACCTCCTTGTCCCCGTGTGTTTGAGTTTTCACATATTGGATGTGTGTTGATTGGTTAAACATATCTAATCCTATATCTAGTCAACTCCTGATAGAATGTACAAATAATTTTCGTACCAATTCAGAAGGTATGAAAACAACTTTAGTGCTTTGGGATGAACTTAACATCCAGGAATTGTGGGTAAACATTATTTGTACGTTATTTACTTTGGGCATGTCTGTCTCTGACATTGTCTCTTCTTAAATTTCTATGTAGGACCCTTTTATTATGTGCTGGGACGTTCGCAAGACTGTTGATGTTGTCTACAAGTGAGTATTGCTTTCTTGTGATAGCAAAGCTCCTATATCTATCCAACTGAATAACATATTTTTACTGCAATCTTGGGTCATTAGATGAGAAAGTAGAATATTTCCTGCTAAATACGCCTTTCCTAAGGCAAAGTTTTTTCTCTCAAGTATTCACTGTTGCTATCCTTATTGTTTTTCGAATCATTCAAGTGACTTCTTTTGTCCCTCAATCCTTTATATAGGTTGTACCGATCATCTGAAGATACCAACCAGCGGATATACTTTGATGTTGAACCTCTAGGTCGACATCTTGGCACAGGCGGTCAGGTATCATGCTGGTTTTACATTTACATTGACCTTTTTATGTCAATCATCTACTCTTTCTAACAGTATTTGTCTTCAGGATGGTCTAGTTCATATATATGATCTCCAAACTGGGCAGTGGATTTCAGGCTTTCAGGCTGCATCGGGTCTGTCTGATGCTTTGGAACTCAAGGGATTCCTGTCCACTTACGCATATTATGTTTAGTTCTGTCTGATTTGCCTGATTCCTTGTTTTCTGTGACTCTGCAGATACAGTAAATGGTTTCTCCTTCCACCCATTTCTGCCAATGGCTGCTTCTTCTTCAGGGCATCGAAGATTTGAAGTTCCTGAGGACGATGATGCAGAATATCATTTGAGGGGTATCACAACTGTCCACCTTTTGCGGTTTACAGCATATTTCACTTCGCATGATTCAATGACTTGGTGTTTGTGCTAATTCAATCAAAATATCGGGCCCCAGAATCCTCTGTTGTGTTATTTCTTGTTCTTGTTCTCCATTTTTTCTTTTCGAAAGTCTCACTGGAGGGTCTTCTATGGTCCAGTGTTCGCAATTTTTGTGTGGAAAAGATATCCTTTTTTTTTCGACTTCTGGAGCAAGCTAAGATTTTGCCATCCTAAAGTTTTTGTTGTCAGTTTCAGCAGCCATAGTCTTTTCCGCTGTTCTTTCATGATGTGCTTGGATCAAATTGTTCCATGTTTAATTAGACGGATTAGAGTAGATATCTTCGTAGCGTAAGCCATATATGTGCACCCACTCTGTTTTGATCACCTCAACAGTTTGCTGTTGCCATTGGTTTACATCGTATTCTCCCGTCTTTTGCAGGTGATGAGAACTGCGTCTCCATCTGGGGCTTCGCGTACGATTCCGCAACTAACAGCACCGATGGTGGAGATGGTGGTGCCGATCTCGACGGCGCGTCCGGTGAAAAATGGCAACAGAATTCCTGAGGGATTCTTCTGAATTTTTTTATATCGTGTCCGTCACTGATCGAAAGCATTCCATTAAATCTGCACCGATCCAGCAATGTCGAACCCAGCGCCTGTTCTAACCAGTTACTGTAATTTGCGCGTGGCTTCGGGCAGATGCACAAACTAGAGTTCGAGTTTGTATTGGTCACGGTTCGATTAGCTGCGAGTAACGTGTATGAAGCATTTGGCCAAACGATGGATCTTTTCATGGGAAGGAGTACTGGGTAGAAGTTAGGACAGGATGGTCTTGATTACCGGAAAGCAGTGCGTATTACCGATCCTCGCTTCGCCGGGGCTAAGTACATACATGCGTCGGTGAAGAGAACTAGATGAATCGAGCTCATACATATTAATGGACGGTGATGAAGTGCCATTTTACCTTAAATGCGAATCGTGTATACTAAATTCTCTAAAAGCCCAATTAAATACGAAGAGATAGAGATTGTCTTTTTTTTTTCGAGAAATGAATGATTTGAAAAATATTTTTTTTTGAAAAATAATCACTTATGTCGTTCGAAATAATTGATCAATAAAGAATGTTTACATTCTCATAGATAATTTATAATTAAATATTTTTTTGTGAGCTTAGGAAATATTTTTCATTTATAAATTTCTGTAATCGATTTTAAGACATCGTTTTTTTTTTAGGGTTAATATTATCAAAAATCTCAAATTGATATACTTGTGACAAATTTACCCCGAACTATTTTTTTGACCACAAAAAACCCCAAACTGGTACATCATTGACAATTTTACCTTAAACTAATTTTTTGACTACTAAAAATCCCACACTGATACACATGTGACAATTTTATCCCGAACTAATTTTTTGATCATAAAAAACTCAAAACTGGTACACCTGTGATAAATTTACCCTCCGTTAGTTTCCGTTAAATTTTACTATCAAATTGCTAAGTTTAATAACACGCGGTAATTGACAGGTGTATCGATTTGGGATTTTAGCCCTCTGTTTGTCACAAGTTTAACAATTTGTGATTTTTCATGATATTAATTGAATTTAACTGATACTAATTGAGGGTAAATTTGTCACAAATATACCAGTTTGGGGTTTTTAGTGGTCAAAAAATCAGTTCGAGATAGAATTGTCACAAATGTACCAGTTTGGGGTTTTTGATGATAAAAAAAAAATAGTTCGAGGTAAATTTGTCACAGGTGTTCCAGTTTGGAATTTTTTGTGATAAAAAAATTAGTTCGAGATAAAATTGTCACAGATGTACAAGTTTAGGGTTTTTCTTGATATTAACCTATTTTTTTAAATGTTCGCAGCTTATTTGTTTTTCTCGAAATAAAAAAAATTCCTTGGCTTGTGGTGGGTCCCACTCCGGTTTCCGATCCCTTTTATATACCCCATGGCACGTGTCGTCTCCGTCCCTCCTCCTCTCTTTCTCTCTCTGCGTGCTGGTGCTGGTGCTGGTTCAGCTTCGGACCGGGGGTGGCGATGGCTTCTTCTCTGAAAGGATCTACCGTTTGGCCGAACCTCAAGAGGGCGAGGCGCGGCGGCGCCTCGGAGCCGGAGCCCGGCCGCCGCCGCCGCGTGGCGCTCAACCCCGCCGATTGCAACTTAGGTGCCGCCTCTCTCTTCCCCCCCACTTCGTTTTCCGTTCCGTTCTATTTTCTTCTTTTTTTGGTCTCGTCGTACTTGTCGTCGATCGTGTCGGCTTCGCGAGATCGTTGCCTCTCTCTCTCTCTGTCTGCTCGTTCGTTCTCTGGACCGTCCTGATGATATGCCGTCGCGTCCGAAGGTGCGAGCCGATGAGGGAACGGTACGTCTCGGAGGGGTTGATCGTGATGCGTCCTTTCGTTTGGTACGAGGATTGTGTGCGCGAGTGGTCGTGTTGATTCTATCGATCGTGACCGCCGTGTTCTTGCGCCGCGCGTGGTCCGGGAAAGCGCGGAGCAAAATTCAATTGAACAGTACCGTCTAGCGACGTTCGGTTATTTTCAGTTCCCGGTGACGGTGAGATCGAACCCCAAGAAGTGTCCTTTTTCGTTGCGAAGAATTTTTTAAATCCGGATGGTCTTCCGAGTCAAGTATTGTGCGCGGCATCCGTGGTTATACGAGTCACTGGTGCAATTGTTTTTAGTAACAAAGAAGGATTGTAGATGGTGGGAAGTGACCTTCATTGCCTCATGTTGTGGCACGCGGCGTGAATATCTTCCTCTCTAGGTTTTTTTCTCAGTCGAGGATGATGTTCGGCACGGTTGTAGAAAACCATGCAATGGAAATATAGGGAGCCTGTGTATTGTGGTACTTTGTGCTCTCTCTTCAACTTTGTCTCTGCCAAGTATCAAGTGTATCGTCGTCGGTTGCATATGTCGAAAAGGTCTGAACTCGTTCTTGATTTGTCGACTGAATTGATGGTGCAACCACATATTCCTTTGTGCAGATTTCAATGTGGAAGGCAATGGGCTTCGAGGATCTGCGCTTCATGAGAAAGGGTTTGCTTATTGCTGGTCTGGTGCGCGTGCTGATGCTGGAATAATTGGAGGGAAATACTGTTTTGGCTGCAAAGTTGTCTCGACTCAGCCAGTTGAAATGGAAGACACTCCCCATGACAAGCAGCATCTTTGTCGTGTCGGTGTGTCGACTGGGGACGAACCAGTGGGAAGCCTTGGAGAAAGCTACTGCAGCTTTGGATATGGAGGGACCGGAAAGTTTTCAACTGCCAACGACTTTTTGGGTTATGGTGAAAAGTTTGGAGTTGGTGATACGATTGTCTGTGCTGTTGATCTTGAGAGTAAGCCCCTGGCGTCCATAGGTTTCTCAAAGAATGGTAAGTGGCTGGGAGTTGCAAAGCAGTTTGATGCCAGTGGGATGGGTCTTGGAGTGGATACTGCAGCAAGTAATTTACCGTGGAAACCAGCGCTCTTTCCGCACATACTGTTGAAGAATGTTGAAGTGGACATGCACTTTAGTCTTGAAGATGGATTGGTTCCCGAAGATGGTTTTAAGCCTTGGGCTTGGGCATTTGAGGATCAGAAGGCCATTCTAGGTCCTGCTTTCTCTGATATTAGCTGCTGTGAAGTGATGATGATGGTGGGATTGCCAGCTTCTGGAAAAACTACTTGGGCTGAGAAATGGATCAAAGAACACCCTGAGAAGCGATATGTGTTGCTTGGAACCAACCTTGTTTTGGATCAAATGAAGGTATGACTTTGTTCTCTTGCATTTCTAGCCTCTTGGTGTTGCATTTATGCTCATTTCTATCGCCTCTCTGTTGAATCACAGGTTCATGGGCTCATGCGTAAGGGAAACTATGGTGAAAGGTTCGATCGTCTGATGGACCGAGCAACCGACATTTTTAATATCCTATTGACAAGGGCTGCAAAGACAGCTAGGAATTACATTCTTGATCAGACAAATGTCTACAAAAGTGCACGTAGACGCAAACTAAAGCCCTTTGCATCTTTTTGTAAGGTGCCTACCTTGCCGCTTTAATTTTTTTTTATGTAAAAGTATGCTGTCTAAGATGCTGATTGTATATCCATGTGATGTGTTTTTCCCCCTCAGATTGCTGTAGTGGTATTTCCAAAACCAGAAGAACTGAAGTTACGTTCGCAAAAGAGATTCAGAGAAATGGGAAAGGAGGTACCTGCTGATGCAGTGAATCAAATGTTGGGTATTACGCTAGCTTGTTTTATTTGACCCTTTTTCATTTTCATTTCCTTTAAAATGATCTTCCCAAGGTCTCCTGGTATTTAAATTTGATTACTTCTGGCAGCCAATTATGCTTTGCCCTCCAGTGTGGATATGCGTGGATCAGACGAGTACTTTGATCAGGTGATTCTCCTGGCGTTGATTAGTTATCTTTAACTTTGTTAATTTTCGCGCAACTAATTTTTGGTCTTTTTGCCAGGTCATGTTTGCAGAACTGGACCGAGTGGAGTCACAAAGGCATTTGGATGAGATGAAGCAATCTCTTGCCTGTCCTTCCAATTTGAATGTGAAGAATGAATTTTCACCTTATTCTCAGGGAACTGCTGTGGGATCATATCCTTTGCCACGAAAGGAGCACGTCTCATCAGGTTTATGCTTCTCTTTTCCTTGAATTAAGAATATATTGGTTCTTGTGGAGTACTTTCACATAGTGAACCTTTCTTTGATGATATTGTATCTCATTGGTTTTTCAGTGACTGGAGGACACTGGATGCACTCTCATGTAGCTCCCCCTCTGTTGAACCCCAGCTACCAAGTCCTCAATCAAGTAAGTATAAGTTCCCTATCTTTTTGGCCTCTCTTTGATGATAGTGTACTTGCACTAAAAGTTCGAGACGTCAGATCCATTCTTTTGAATTTCTCAGATTTGTTTTCACGGGTGAATAAGATTGCTCTTGTTTTTCTTTGGTATAATATCTCGCTCTGGTTAAATGAAGTTCATATGTATTTGCTCAGATATACTCCCATTTTGTTGTCTGGTCTCTCGTGTTATGCAAACTATTTGATGAATCTCACATTTAAATTGTGTTACCTTAATGGTAAAATGATTGGACCCTTGATAATGTTGAAGCTGTGGCCTCAGTTGGATTCGTATCAAGGCCATCAGCAGTATAATGTGCCTGGAGCAGCTGCCGCTCCTGGAAGTTTTCAAACAAGTTTCTACCCTGCCAGTGATTATGGTTATCCTAGCACGTCAAGTGCCATTGCCAATGTTGGTTCAGACTGTTACCCAATTCATGGAGCGGAGAACTCCTACAGCAGATCAAACGTGGTGTACAACAGCGTGCGCGGTGTTGCCACTGATGCACCATACCAGGGCAATGGGGTCGAGCCTTGCTTAAATGGAGGTGAAAGGGCCTCTTCAGGACTATATTTTACTCCTGGTGCTCCTTTCAATGTCAGTGGGAATCCCAGAGTTTTTCCTGATACTCTAAGAGGATCCATGTTGATGGAGGATCCGCCGCTGCTGCATGGTAATTAGAACCGATCGACTCATCATCAATTTGTGCAGTTGGAAGCATGTTTCCTTTTTGCCTCATACAATCGTACTTTAACAGTTTTATGCATGAAACCTCAGGTGAACACTATGCTGCTCCAAATCCAGGAACTCTGTACAGGAATTCGTCTGCTGACATGCCACCTCCAACAGGGCAAGACCTGCCCTACCAGAGGCATTACTGACTGCTTACCGCATGTATTGTTGCTACCGATGCAAGAAGCTATGTTGTTGTTGTGAAAGGTTTCAAATCTTGTAAATCTGTATATACGCGCTGGGTACTGAAGGCATTTCGTGGAGCATTATACAGTTGTCGAAGCCCATGTAGTTGGTGTCATATTCTCCTCCATGATCCTGAAATTACTTCACTCTTCTTTTGGTGACTTACATGTTTGACTTAGGTTGCGTTAGGGGAGGCTGCTTCTCTCCATTCAACTAGTTAGTATTGTAAATTTCTGTCCCAGTGGAATGATATGGTGCTCTTCAACATGTCTTGAGCTATGTTGCTACCAATTTCTAGACTATTTTTTATGCATGATTGGTCGTCGATGGTTAGTCCAGCAATGGATGAGATCGGGATGATCCTTAAAATTATGATATAAGATTCATCAATCATTTATAGACACCCGAAAAGAAGTTGATCTCGTGCATGCACTGCTTCTGAGAGAGAATTTTTATATAATCTATTAACTCAGAACCAGATGTACTATCGTTGCATAAACCGATCGGTTTCAGAGTTAATAACCTACCTGCTCTCGTCATAGTCGGTTCCTAGCTTTGAAATTGGGAACCAAATCGATTCCCTTACGAATCAAACGATCTTTTCATTCCATCCACAATGGAATGAGGACTCCATTCAAAATACCTACCTAACGCTTGATCGAACTACTTAACTAATGTTTTGTGGAGTAAAATCGATAAATGTTCTATTCTTTTGTGAGTGCAGTTTTCCGCTTTAACCCACATTGAGAACAATGAGAAGAGCACATTGGACCATACTTGAAGCACCTTTTCATATGCAAACCCATCATAAAACAGCTATCCTTCTTCTTAGAAGTCAAGTTAAAGATTCAGTGGTGCTTTTGCTATCCATCCTATAAAAGAATAACAATTCTAGCAAATCACGCACGTGAAAGTTAGGGAGGAACCATAAAGCTGGGTATCTTGTGTGTTCTACTTTTGCTCTCTAAGCTTTTTTGCCGTTTCATTCACCTTTTCAAATGGGACTGGTCCTCAAAGGTTGACACCATAACCATAACCTGCATGAATGGTCCATGTTGGTCCTTTTAGCTAGCTAGCTCTCACATCAACTATTCATCCCTGGAGCTTAGAGGTTTGAGCAGTAATCTTTATCATTTAATCTTTGCAATGCAAATGCAAGCCTGTTTACCCCTAAATTGCAAAGTTTACTGTATTTGTCAATTGTTACAAATGTTTAGTCTTTGCACTTGGACCATCCGTTCGATACATGTTCATCAGAGTTGGGTGAGTGAACACGGTATATCATCACCGTGTCATAGGCAAAGACTCCGGGAAATTCAAGATAAATTTGAATGTAAGCTAAAGACTTCTAAACTAATTGACATATAAGTAGATGGACGTACATGTGACATCTCTTCGTACACCACCACGTTAAAGGTTTTCCATCTTGGCACACAGATCTCATGACATATAAGGTATTCCATTGCATCGAAAGAACCTAAATCGGGTTACTCATCATGTCATTTAGCTTATTGGGTTACGCATCACATCTTCTCTCAACTTGTTATCTTTCTCATCTCTCAACCTAGATTTCACTAAGCGCTTAAGCGAAAAAAACCCTAGATTTACCTAACCAACTATAAAAATTCTGAAATGTTAGGACCTGGGTTTCTTCATATCAATAAAACGGTAAAGAAGTTCAAATCTAAATATGAAACTGAATAGTGCAAGAGATGATGTGCTTGGCCTAACGAAGAGATGCTTTTCTTGAATGCACAGCATTAAAACTGTCTTCAATCATGGACGCAAGAGGACAAGAGATGTGGCAACGGGGGGCACGAGCCGTGAAATTTTTTAAAGCGAACACGACAACTTCCACAAGGAAGAGAAAGCAGCCTTGAATATCACAAGACAAGACCCGATGTCACAGAAAAAAGCAAAGGAAAGTCTTTTTGATGCCTTTAAGATTAAACAGAAGTTAAAGGTAAGAACATGAACGGATGGCCATGAAAAGTTGATGGGCATGATTCTAATAAAGCATGATGTTGGCCAAGAAACCAATCCACCCTCCACTAAAGTTTGTCCATCACATTCCCTAAATATCCAAGAAAAAGGACCCTTTACGAAGTATTGAACATGGCTTTGGTAAAACAAGTTCCTGTTTGTATTTTGGTGAAATGAGGTATTGAATAGATGATTTGTACTACAATGATTTCTCTAGGTTAGTATTCATATTGACAATACTACTCACAATGTATTGCACACAAGAATAATCCCACGTCAAATCGAGCACAAACGCTTACGAACGATCCGAAGATGATCTCGAAAGTATACTAGATCTACACATAGAAAAGTACGCTTGTGGTCCACGTGCTTTTAGGAATGTTCAATTTTGGTCCTTATACATGTCGGGCATGTTATTTTTCAACAAAAACTTAATTTTTTTCATCACATTATAATCCAAATCTTACAGAAACGTCAAATTGAAACTATACTGACTAGTAATTCTTACAATTGCAAGTATAACCAGCATGATTGAAAGTCTTGTTAAGATAAATGCCGTCATATATAAGTCTTTACCATCAACGTGATGCGGAGTTTCTGATCGTACTATAATTTGTAAGGTTTCTTATAAACCTTGTCAAATATTTGAGCTAATAGAATAGCAACTTAAAGCCGTGGTTAAATTACTTAAAGTGGATCTTTTTTTTTTTCTTAGAGTAGTCCTAGGTACTTCTATATGGATCTATACCAAGAATGCGAATATTAAATTATTGCTTATTTTAAAATTAATCTTAATGGGACTATCGATTAGATTGTAAACACTTGTCAACGTAGGAATCACTAATTAATAGCATTTTTCCCCCTTCAAGTTGTCATCTTCATAAGATTTCTGATAAAGATACGGCGAAAGAAATTGAGTTTTTATTGAAAAGTATTTTAAGAACTAGTGTCATAACTAAATGAAGTAAGAGAACTAAAATTGAACAATCTCAATAGTATGACGATCGAAATTATATCATTTTCAGAAACTTATACACAGAGACGGCCTTATGTTGATTTGCCGGTGCCGACTCGATATATCCCGTCTAGGGACCAAAATTAAGATTCGCGTTAACGTTACGAGGACGGGTTTTTATAATTTGCACGAGTATTTTTTATACAAATAATTTAAACGGGCGAAAAATGCAAGTCAAAAAGCACTAAACCCTAGGTCAAATCTTGCTAATTTTTACAGTGAAAAAGTGTACTTAGATATCCCTCTCTCTCTCTTCTTCTGCAACTCCATCGACTTCCCCTTCCTTCCTCCAACGATTTTTCTCACCCCCTCGAATGCCCTTCTCTCTTATCCTCCCGAATTCATGGACGGCAACGAAAACCCACCTCCACCTCCGCCGCCGCCGCCTCCGCCTCCTCCGCCGCGCGCCGCCGCGAGCCTCTCCGCCGCGGCCCTCGCCCATCTCTCCTCCCTCTCCGCCCACCCTCTCTTCTCCGCCGCCTTCGCCTTCTACGCCCTCGTCCTCCTCTACTTCCCGCGCATTTTCATCCGGGTCCTCCTCTCCCCGGTCCTCCCCATCACCGCCCTCTCCCTCCTCGCCCTCCTCCGCCTCGGCGCGTCCCAACAACGAGCCGCCCGGAAGCTGGGAGACCCCGCCGCAGTAGCCGAAGAAAGCAGGGTCGGGACCGAAGAAGAGAGCGGGGAGCTCAGGCGGGATTCTTCCCGCGCCGACGGCCGCCTATCGGAAGCCGACCCGCGATCGGAGATGAGTTTTTTCGCTCCGAGCGCGCGGTACGAGCGCCGCTTCGTGGAATGGGACGTGAAGGCGCCCCTCGAGGTGATCTACGAAGAGTACGAAGGCGAAGGAGACAAGGAAGAAGACGACGGCGGCGTCGGCGACGGCGACGGCGGCAGAGACTTCAGTTTCGGGGGACTCGAGAGGTACCCGTCGCTGTCGATGTGCTACCCGGACTCGGACTCGGACTCATCCTCGCCGGGCGCCGATTTCGGCTTCTGCGGCTCCGGCGGCTTCGGCTCCGACTGGGACTCGCCGGAGAACGGCGTTTTCCGGTGGGATGCGGAGGACGTGGGGGAGGGGTTGATCGAGATCGCGCTGGACTCGCACGGCGGCGAGGAGGAGAATCTGATCGAGATCGACATCTCTCCGGCGACGGCGAGGAAGCACCATTGAGTTCGACGGTGCGAAAGATTTTTTGGATGTTTTCTTTTTTCTTTTTTCAATTTTTCTTTTTTTTCGGGGTTGGTCAAATTGTTTCGAGAAATTGAAATCTGTGAAGAAGAGGAATCGCGGGGGGCGGGTCTTGTATACGATCAACGGTCCGAAGCACAGGGCGGCCGCTTGATCCAACGGTCTGTAATTGATCTTACGTGGAACCGATCGCCGTTCCGTTTCGGTGGCCATAAAAATACGGAGGGGCAAAAGGGACATTTCCCCCCGCGCGCGGGGTGCATCGAGGTCGCAGTAGCGAACCGACCCATGAGGACGACCCGGTTCGCTTTGCCCCGACCCGATGGCCCTTGCCTAAAATCAACATTTATTTTTGCTACGGTTTTTTTTAATTAGGGTGTAATATCGAATTGATACTATTTTTTTCCTTGGTTTCCTTACGGCGCGAATGATAATCATTATGATCCTAGGAACAATTTCGGGCCAGAAATAGGTTTTTTGTATTTCTATTCCCTAGATGAGTTTCTGAGTAGAAAGCGGCGTTTGATGGCGACACGAAATTTCTGTTTCTGGAACACAAATTTGTTTGATAGGCACTCTTAAATATATCCTTGCCATGTTTTTTTTCCATTCACTGTGCTCCACTCTTTTGTGAGATAAATTGAATTGAACATCCTTAATCAATTGAATTGAAAGCGTCGATGTAGAATTCATACATCAACGGGCAGCGACCAACGGTCACGGGTGGCGAGAGCGATTAATGAGAAGAGTTTTTATTTTTATTTCCGTTCTAAAAATAGAAAATTAGAAAATTTTTACTTTTCATTTCTGTTCTAAATCTTTTTTTTTTAGTTTAAAAATTTGTGCCGGAAATACAAAAATGAAATTGCCCAAATGGATTTATGTTACAAACCTGTTCCCGGGAATAGAAAAAATAGAAAAATAGATAAAATTAATAGTTATCATGCACGCTCTTAACATTTTAAAGCATAAAAATAATTGTTTAACGGTATCAATTGGTGATTGATTTTTAAAGCTTATAATGATTTGATGATAAAATAATACCTTTTGCGCTTTTCTATTTTTCAAATAAATAATTTTCCGAGGGCGCAAATTATGCGGCTTCTTTTTTTTTTTTTTTAAAATTTGTGTACAGGTGGGTCCATTTTCTTCTGTCTATAATTTCTAATGCCTTAATTTTAGGTATGAAGTTTGCCCATCATCGTCAATAACGGAAGGAGAACATGCCATGTTTCATTAAGCAGGTGGAGAGTATATCGGCATGAAAGGGACGCGACATGCCAAAGGAAAATATGGGGATAAGAACCGGAAAATAATTAAAATAATAAAATAAAAATCTTGGTCAACAAATATATATATGAGTGCCATATCTAGTGGAAGATTTCTTTCTGCCATCTTTATTGCTGTTTTTTTTTTAAATTTCCATTATTAAATTGGGTGACCAGTTATTTTATTTTCGAAAAAAATAAAAATAATGACTCTAGCCAATTTTTCCCTCGTCCTGAGGTTTAAGTAAATTATTAAGAATGTCAAGAAGCAATTTATTCATCCTAATTTATCGAAACATAAGCCGGAAGTAAGAATTATTGTGACAAAACTCCCCGATCTCGACAACATGGATTGGCTACGTGATTAAGTATCACGAGATTCCTCCTTTTCTCTCCTAAATCGGAGTCATCACCTTATGGGGTTCATCCACCTCTACTGTTATCGACTAACAACTTATCCTCCCTTCAAAAGGAAAAAAAAAAATCGAGAAAATCCCATAAAATATGTCGGTGCTCGAGTGAGATCACAATGTATCGATATAGCTATTTGTTCCACATTTCACATTCTAGGATTGACTATAGGACTAGGGAGCAATGTTGGTGGGAATATACATTTCCTTGTATTATCTATCCTTTATCACCTCTCTATTTTTTTTATCATAGATGGTGACATAATTTGACATTATAGGAGGCTCATGGTCTACGGAAATAAAAAAATTTCTAGCGCCGAGGTTTAGTCACGTGTGGGGAAGGATTGAAACCCCCCACTCATCTTTTGGTACCACTTTCCTCGGTTCAAATTTTTATCGTGCGAATGAAAATCTCGCAGCTCGCCGTTAGGTGAAATTGCCACATGGGGTGGACAACGAGTCGACATTGTCGTGCCGGTGCATGCATGCGGTCAATCCTTATTAACTAATCGACGGACGAATTTAATCCGTAGTAACCAAACTTTCAAGCGACATACTCCAGTTCAACATGCATAAACAATCAAACGAAGGGAAGAACCACCCAGTTCAACGTGCATGAGCAGTCAATACGCACGAGCTACATTCACGTGCTAATCCAACAGCGGGGATGAATCCAAGAACGAGTTCAATTTGAAACTCAGAAGCTAAGTTCAAACAGAACAGCCGACCAATCAAATCAGACAACATTCGACTCAAACACGCCAAGTCAATGTGCCATTCAATCACAACTGAGGTTCGAACCCGACGAGTGGCTTGTCCAATCGACATGCGAGAGCAGCCATTATTGACTAGACAATCCACTCAGCAACATTCACATGTACTTCATTCAAGATGGATGCCGATTCAAGCAGCGTGCTAGTTCCAATCGAAATTCGAACAGCAAAATTGGCATTCCCGGAATTATTCAATCGGCGTGCTAGTTTTTTTTTTTTTTGGTCGAAGTTTTACTTTCCATTCAAACACTTGGAAACATATCACAAGAGAGAATATGACTAGAGTCGATACAAAATAAATCCCATAGAGGTAGGGGTGGTCTAGACATCCAGTTGGATGGTAGAAATCCTTTCTGATGATTTTTGGCTATCCAGTCTGTTGCTTGATTGCTGTTTCGTGGACAGTGGACCAGGGAAACCTCCTTTAATTGGGAGAGCAGTACATTACAATCAACAAAAAGGCTTCTCAAGGCCCATGGGCTTTCTTTCGGATTATAAGTGAGACTTACTGAAGCTTCGTTGTCTGATTGTAAGCAAATCTTCTCTGCTAATATTTCCTTCTTCTTCGTTGTCTCTGCTCGCAGACAGAGAAGAGCTGCTTTTACAGCGTTGCCTTCAGTTTCCAGCGGGGAGGAAGCAGACACAGTTTTGGCGAACCCCACAATAATCACTCCTCTGTAATCTCTGCATATCCCAGCCACCGATCCCTCTGTTTTCCCTTCGATCCAAGACCCATCGACGTTGAATTTCAGAGTTCCTGGTTCTGGGGGCGTCCAGCGTTCTGTCTTCGCTTTGGCCTTCCAACTCCTCGATTCAGCTAAGTTTTGCTCCCGATAGTTTCTGTTTAGAAAAACAGCTTCTTCCACAATTGTTCCGGAGCTTGGACTAATTTGATTGAATACCCAGGCGTTCCTTGCCTTCCAAATTTGCCAGAGGACTCCTGCAAGCATTTCCGGATCCAATTGTGCTGAGCTTTTGGTGAGTGCTTCGTCGATCCATTTGTCCATCCTTGTTAGATTTATCGGTGATACGTCCATCTGGATTCTCGGGTCTGACCATATGTTGTTGGTCCAGTCACAGAGGGTGAAGATGTGCTCCATCGTCTCGGGATGCTTTCGGCAAATTGGACAAAGTGGGTCAGGTAAGGCCCTTCTTTTGTATAGATTTTCTGAAGTTGGCAAAGCATTACTACACACACACCATATGAAAAATCGAATTTTTGGTTCTGTGCGTAATTTCCATATCTCTGTCCAAAGTGAGCGGGGCTGCTGGTAAGAGGATGACGCGAGTTCTGTATTTTGCTTGGAAGGAATTGCTCGAAGTCTAGAATAACCGTGTTTTACCGAATATTCTCCTGTTGTAGCTCCATTCCATATTTGTCTATCGGTGTCCTGGATAGGATTGATCTTTATGGCCTGGATTTCGGACACAATCTCCTCCGGAAACAGTCTTGTAAGCTGATTAACATCCCACGTTTTTGTCTCTTGATCTATCAGTTCTACGACTTTCTGTGGGTCCTCCCTGTTTGCTGGACCTCCTATGACTCTCCTTTCCAGCCATTTGTCCTCTCTTATGTCGATGCTCTCACCATTGCCGACATGCCATCTCACATCAGGGCATATGGTATCCCTTCCCATTAATATACTTTGCCACCCCCACGAGGGCCGGGAGCCCTTAGTTGCTTTCCAAAAACTTCTGTTTGGGAAATAAATGCCTTTTAGTAGTTGGCACCACAAGGCAGTTGGATTTTGCGCCAGTCTCCACGCTTGCTTTCCTAGCATAGCCTTGTTGAAGGTAACTAAGTCCTTGAAGCCCAATCCCCCATCTATTTTCCTTTCTTTAAGGAGTTCCCATTTTTTCCAGTGGATGCCCGATTTTGATGAATTCTGTTTCCACCAAAAGGAAGCTATTTTCTGTTCAATCGCTTTGCACACTGAGATTGGGATTTTGAAAATAGACATTGCATATTGGGGAAGTGATTGTACCACTGTTTTGATTAGAATCTCCTTACCCGCCTTTGAGAGCAGCTTTTCCTTCCAGCCTTCCAACTTCATATTTACCCTTGCCAATATCCACGCGAACATCTGTTTTTTTGTTTGTCCCCAATCTGATGGGATGCCCAGATATTTCCCGGTTTTCTCCATAATTGGAACTCTTAGTTCATCCGCCAAATTTCTTTTGAGGATTTGAGGGCAACCAGCACTATAAAAGATTCCGGATTTGTTTAGATTTATTGCTTGTCCTGAAGCGAAGCAGTATTGGTTTAAGATGTTTGCCAGATTTTGGCATTCCCCTATTGTCCCATCCAGGAAGAAAATAGCGTCATCAGCAAAAAGTAAGTGTGACAACGTTGGGCAATTCCTATTCAGTTTGATGCCTTTCAGACTCCCATCCTCAACAGCCTTTCTTAGTAGAGACGAAAGCATATTTGCCATGATTATAAACAAATAAGGAGATAGTGGATCTCCTTGTCTAATACCCCGTGTTGGTTGGAAGTACTTTAATGGCTCACCGTTCACTTTAACGCTGAATGTGACTGAGGAAATACATTGCTTCACTAATGACACCCACTCCTGGCTGAATCCCATTTTCACCATGCTAGCGCAAAGGAAGTCCCACTCCACTCTGTCGTAAGCTTTTTGCATATCCAACTTTAGGATCGCCTGAAACTTCCTTTTCCGTTCCCGAATTCTTAGTTGATGTAGGACCTCCTGGACTATGATTATATTATCTTGAATCAACCTCCCACTCACAAAGGCACTCTGTTCTGTGGCAATTAGATTCAGAAGCCAGGGTTTGAGGCGATTCGTCATCACCTTTGAGATTATCTTGTAGCTGAAATTGCATAGGCTAATGGGTCTAAATTGTGTGATGCTTTCTGGATGGGTGACTTTAGGGATGATCACAATGTGTGTTTTGTTGAGTTCTGGATCGAGGTAGCCTGATAGGAAGAAATTGCTGACAAGACTGTGTAGATCATGTTGTAGTTCCTCCCAATGGTGATGGTAAAACTGGCCATTCATCCCGTCTGGTCCTGGGGCTTTTGTTGCTCCTAGCTGAAACACTGCTTGTTTGACCTCTTCTACGGTAACCGCTGCCATCAATGCCTCATTCATCTCATGTTGGCTTGGAAAAGAGCATTGGTCTAGAATTGGGCTGAAGTTCCTGGTACCCACTGTTTCGAACAAGGATTCATAATAACTGGCGATGTGCTTGTTTATGTTGTTGGGATCTCTGCACCATGTGTCTTCAATTTTCAACATTGCAATTTTATTCCTTTGTCTTCTTTGGATCGTGGCGGCGTGGAAATATTTCGTGTTTTTGTCTCCCCACTTAATCCAATTAATTCTTGATCTCATGCCCCAATATTGCTCTTCTTGTTTCCACAAATTCTGGATTTGCACTTTGATTTGCTGCATTTCTTTTCTGTCGGAACCACCATTACTTGCATTTGTAAGGGTCGTGAGTCTTCTTTTTAAGAACTCGATCTTGTTGTGGGCATTGGAGAATTTCTTTTTACTCCACAACTCTAGAGCATCTGAGGTCTTTTTCAATTTTCCAGCAAACGAGATTGGGATGACTTCCGGTACACCCCAAGCTTCCTTCACCAACTCCTTGCACTCCGCATCGGCCAGCCAAAACGCCTCAAACTTAAAAGCTTTTTTCCTTTTAGTCCTATTTGGTTGGAGGGACAGCAGAATAGGACTATGATCAGAACCTATAGCAGGTAAAGCGAATGCTTCCGCATTTGGGAACCTCACTCTCCAATTGATGTTGCAAAGTACTCTATCTAATCTTTCCCGCACGAGTGCATTTCCTTCCCTAT